TGAGAAAAAACTCCTGGGTTGAGATAAGAGCAGTTTAATAATTGAAATAAAGTAAAATAATAGTAGTAATAATAGCAATATAATAATGATAATAATAATAATATACAAAGCAAGTGATGCACAATGTGATTGCTCACCACCCGCCGACCGACACCCAGACAGTTCCTGAGCCGCGATCGCTGCTCCCCGGCCAACCCCCCCCAGTTTATATACTGAGCATGACGTCATATGGTATGGAATAGCCCTTTGGTCAGTTTGGATCAACTATTCTGGCTGTGCCCCCTCCCAGTTCCCAGTGCACCTGGCAGAGCATGGGAAGCTGAAAAGTCCTTGACTAGCATAAGCAGTACTTAGCAACAACTAAAATATCAGTGTGTTCTCAGCATTCTTCTCCTACTAAATCCAAAACACAGCACTATGCCTGCTACTAGGAAGAAAATTAACTCTGTCCCAGCCAAAACCAGGACAGGGATATGTAACAAATTACTATACTGCATTGCTTGTAATGAATAGTATTCAACTTTTGTATTAATTCCTGGCTGCAATGTCTGCTTTGTTAAGGAATACAATCCAACACTGAAACTGAAAACTGATGGTGGAGGGGAGGGCTAACCAGGAGACACTAATGAGATGATAAGGAAAGTTCACACATGAAACACCAAAGGCACATCTGCACAGTGTTGCACAGCCTATGTGCAGGCTGGGAGAGCCCTAAAGCAAATTTTTGTACTTTGTCAGCTACTTATCTCCACATAACTGGAGTAATTTGAGGCTTACAAAAGTAAATATTAGGAACATTAAGACAAAACTATGTATGTTTATCCTTTCTATAGTCTCTCTGTTCAGGAAGGGCAAACTCTTGTGCATATTTCCAAAGAACAAGCCATATTACTTTTTCAAAGGATGTGATGGCATCACTGATGTGGGTGGCAGCTTACTAGCAAAAAAGATACAGTTTTCTTTACTCAGAGGTATGCTATACAAACCTCTCTCTGTATGCCTAGATATGTTTTTAACACCTTGCAAATTCATTCACTATAATTCAATCTGAAAACTAAATTATAAAGCTTCATTGCAACTAACATTGTGTTGGAGAAGCATGAACAAAATTGGCTAGAAGTGGGCAAAGTCATAGATAAATATCTAACTCCAAACCTCTGCTCTCATGGTTAGCAGAAGACAGGGAAATATTTGAAAATTACCACTGCTTTTACATATAAACTAAACCAACCAATGAAATTCTGGGTAAGCCTTAGCAGAATTCAGGCTGTGATGAGACAGCAATGAACTATGTATCTCTGGCTGAAAGGAGTTCAGGAGAAATAAACAATATCAGTAAGAAAACAAACACATGCCTTAAAAGTTACACTATGCATCTACAGCATTATTTTGCACAGTTTGTGACAGGAAGAGGACTCAGGGATCTTCTCACCACAAGGAGAGATAGTCACGATCTTGCAAGTTTAATAGACACATAGAAGTGTGAAAAGTTATTATGGGTGAAAAGGAGAGTCCAGCAGAGGTAGGATTCTTTCTAAAGAACAAACTCTCTAGGTAAGAGCTTACAAGTTCCTTCCTAAGTACAAATCAGAGCAGAGTGCACTGAAAGAGAAGAAAGAAAGAATGCAGGGGAAAATGTAAAAACAATGTTAAGGTAAATGTGAGTATCACTGAACTCGGTAATTTGGAAAACTTAAAAGATTTTTTTTTAATATTTCATAACAGTAGCTTAGCTATTAAAAGTTATATGTAAGTGTTTGCAATCATTTATTAAGCTGGTAATTTAAATCTAGATTTGCAGTTGGTAACATGTCTAAATAAATGTAAGAAGTGTTATGCCCCTCACCCTCAAGTCCCAGCGCAGTGGTACTCAAGACTGATCTGTTGACTATAAGGGTCTAACTTTCAGATCAATGCAAACTAGCAAAAACACATCAAATGAAACTATAGTGAAATTATAACTGTCCAACACTTCATTATAAGACTTCAGAGCTCCACAAATCAATAAATGCTGAAAACCACTGGTATAGTAAAACGTCTGTTGGGAATACACAGAAAGGTTGGAATTTTTTTCCAGCAGACCTAGTGAACACACAGTCAGCAATTTCAACAGACACAGCACAGGCAAGTACTTGTGAGAAAAATGGCTTTTTTTTCCTCTTATTTGATACTTTCATGTTTCAGCCACCTTCCCAGCTCACGTCGCCTTCCCATCACAATAATCAACTAATATTCTAAAAACCATTAACACAAGTTTCCATATTCCTTACTGTCTATGCACATCTTGCAATCTATATACGGCGATGTTGTTACTTCCTAAATTATGCAGCCAAATCTGTACACAAAAAGCAAATAAACTTCTATATCGTCTCTGTTTAGCACAAGCTTATCCCATCCTGATGATCCCCTTCCTCCAGGAGATTCCCCTACTGCTTTAACAAGTGGTACACACCCAACATACAGCAAATAGCCAAAGTTCAGACTACAACAGAAGCCAAGGGCTCAAATTCAAACAGCTCCAGGACAAAAAGCTTCACAGAAAGACAGATCCATGCAGGCTTTATTTCCCACAAAACTAGTCTTCTCTTCCTCTTCACAGCCCATATAGCAACAGGAGTTGCTGTAGGCAATTCACAAAAATGGGAAAGACTAAAACCAGAAGTGTTCTGCATGTCTGTATCCATAAAACCAACACAAGCTATGATCCCATTACCATCCTTCTTTTATTCTGTCTAAAAGTTCAGCACACAATGTTAATCTAAGCTCCTTGCCACACATTACAGCAATTAGTTTTCACAGTGGGTAAGCAGAAAAGAATACACATGCTCCTTTGTTCACAGGGGTATTGCCAAACACAAGTGACACCTATTTTTAAGTTTCTAAAAGGGTGTGGATTTAGAGGTTTAAAGACTCTTTTTAAGGAACTTATGCCAAATCCTCAATGCTATATCAGTTTATTATCAACTGAAATATAACACATGGATATAGCTGAGAGATAAGAATCTAGGCAATCTGAGCAGAGCAAGAGTGCTAAACTAAACTGAAGAAAATCTGATTATTTCTTTTTTCACCTACAATAAAAATCATTTACATTTTCATGAAACACACTGATCACAGCTTTTCCCATGTTAATCAATGTTCCATGCATCTAACAAACAGGAGAAATTCAATATTAAAAACTTTGGTGAGTTAAGTGCGTATCCATAAGATTTGACTTGCCAATTATTGTGAAGTTGGGCCCAGAAACAGGGAAGGTAACGCACTCTGGACAGATTAAATAGGTTCAAAGAAAGACTAAGTTTATTTTTACAGTGAATTGTTGGTCTTTGTTCCTTTTGTACTCAGGTATAACAAGTCAATGAAAAGTTGCTGGAAGGCCCAGAGAGCTTTTAGATGAATTATTGATAGAGATGTAATTGAATGGGATAAAGTAAGTTCATCCACCTCTAATTCCACTATCTAAAAAAATAAACCTGGCACCACTTTCAGGAAGCCTCACAATTTTTAGAGCACTAGTTGTCACAAGTTTGCACTTCTTTAAAAGCAGCAGACTCTCAGCTTTCCCCAAGCAGAGACCATAAATGAGAAAGACTTTCATGTTTATAGAGCTTGCTTATACAGCAGAAGTATGCATATTTCATGTTCTTCCTGTATTAGAAATAGCCCACCTAGAATATTAAGTCTGCTCTTGTCTACATAGAAGTGTTGTTTTAGTAGGTTCAAAACACAGGGGTTTTTGTATAAACTCCAAGATTTAGTCTGGCCAAAGCACCATGTACATTACCACTATCAAAAGGTCTCAGCATCACTTCAACAACTCTTGGAGTCTGACGAGACATTCAACGCATGACTTCATAATATCTTTGCAGAAAAGCAAAAAAGCACTAAGTTCTGAAAACGGTTCCTTCCTTCATTTACAAAATGAAGTATTTTCAGTGGTCTAAGAAAAGTAGAAGCAAGCATCCCCCAAATAGGCCTGTAAGCAAGACCTATACAGAAGAAAAACTATGAAAGCTAGGGACAGCATGCTAAAACAGCACTATCTGAACAACAATTTTTGTTTCACTGAGCTGAGACTAAATAAAAGAGAACCCTCCCTTCATTTTTCTTAAGAAAAAGTACATTGAATAAATTCTACTTTCAGTGCTTGTTTGGAGCTTCCTTTGAGATCTGTTTCTCCCTAAAGTGCATAGGCAAAAATCTCAGGCTGTTCCGAGACTGGCTCTGTAAACTGCCCCACCTTTTGGAGATGATGTTGCTAAAAATTACATAGGCGATTACTGCAGCAAAGACTGTTCATGTGCCATTCTAAAGATGATACTGTTTACTTCGGGGGGGGGGGGGAATTTGTCTCTTCATAAGGAAGATTTTCATACATATTGCAGTTCTGCCTTTGATAAATACAGTAGAGGGGGCTACAGGAACTCAATACTCCAAATCTCCTCTTTATGGGTGAGAATATCCTTACAGATCTGTCCTTGAACTGTACCCATTCCCTCAAAGTATGGATGATGTCAGCTTCTCCAAAACCTGAAGCATCAAGAAGGACCAAAAGAAATTTACCTCAGGTTTAGTAATACCGCGATCTCTCATTACAGCTGCAATTAGTGACAATTCCCAGATAGATTTTTTTTTTTTTTTAAACACAATATTGGTATTTTCCTCATCAATGTGAAAGGTTCATTATTCTTTTTACAGTTATATCTTGTCAAATGTAGTAGACAAAAAAATAAATCATTTTCTGCATAAATTTGATCTTAACTCTCATCAATACATGTCAAACTTACATTGCTGGTGTGCCGCTTAACTGGTCAAGGTTCAAAGTGTACTATATGGAGAAAACCTCTCCTGAAGAAAGGATATGCCTTGTCAAAAAGATAAACGTGGATGAGGGTCAGACTATCTCAGATAATCCCAAGAATCCAGCACAGGCAAGAAATGTAGCTCTCCATCCTGAAGAAGTTCCTGTGTATCAAAAATGGAATGGTTAGACATTGAAAATTAAATGAATATCAGCATACCCTGTAAGCTTGCCTCATCTTCATGACATCCCAGAAATATAGTTTTCATTAAATCAATAAAACTATTCCTAGTTAGTAATAAAGCAGCACAAAAAAGCTCAAAGATTGCTTTTGGACTAAGGGCAAGCACTTCCAAATATGTCAGCTTGTGATGATATTTACAGATAAAAAATACACTAAGGGCATAATCATCTATGTATTGTCATGATTTGCAACTAATCTTTCTACGATGCCAAAGCTCAACCGTAATTATTCAGAGTCTCATTTTGGCTTAATCTGCTGCCCAATTACTTTTAAAGAAAGCATTTGCCATTTATTTCTGTGTGAAGTGTGTTCAAAATCTGACAAGACAGCGAAGACCTAAAATAGCAACATGCTGTTATATATGCGCTCAATAGGAACCAAGCTTTTAACTGCAACGGCTACATGGCAGCACATCTGAGATGGAGAAAAGCCATGCAGGAGAGGAGGTTAGAGAGAGGAAAGTAAAGAACAGGAAGAACACATATGCAGAGATCAGGAAGATACAAAACAACCTTTAAAAAAAGCATAGTAAATTAGCTTCAACCTCTCATGCAGACCCACTAAATAAGGAGCCAAGGTACAGAGACTAAAAGAGCAATATATGTTGTAAATGAAGTGGCAGTACCAGTTATCCATAGTATTTCATGTGTTATACACCCAACAATATTTATTAACACTAAAGAGAAATAATAGCATCCAGTCTTGAAATACTGGATTTGCTGTGTTACGCTATTTGTTCAGTCTCTGAACAGAGCCAGACGCAGTTTTTCCTCAAATGCCAACTTTGAGAAAGTATGAAAATACTTTTCAATTACTGAACAAAAAGGTATACTCTTGCTACCCCTGGAATCTACTGAAATACTGCATCTGATTATCTAAGGAGGTGTAGAGGGCAGCAAAAAAATTAAGCAAGTACCCAAGAGCTTGCCTGGCTTTTTTCCTCCAAGTGAATTGATCAGCTTGGTAAAATGTACTTACATTACCCTATTACCTGTATTTTCCTTATACCCCCAGACCACTGTGGCTGCAACTGTTACGCAAAACATTTGTCTAGCTCTGTTCCTATGGTCCGAATAAAGTGCCTACTAGTGTCAAAAGACTATACATTGAAGAACTTTAAGTCCTCTACCCTGTAGAAGAGTTAAAAATGCCAGCTCTAAATCAGGAACTTTACCCATGCATGTTTTTTCTGGTACCTTCCTTTCCTATGCAGAAAGATCACACACAAACAAGAGGGGAAAACTAACTGTAGCCTTCATCTTGTACAGTATTTGCATTATTCTGCTGATGTATTCAGTTCATTATTTAATAGTGCTCACCATTTAAGCAAAGATGCACATGCTTGCTGGTAGTACAGCAAATGCTGTCAGTTAGAGAAAGTAGAAGTACCTCCAAGTGCAGTTACATCAACGTTGACAAAACACACTACAGTACTCCCAAAGACCTTTCCTGAACACTGGGATCTATTACACAGACATTTAAGTGTTCAAAAGTTCCTGCCTTCGAGATCTTGCCACCTTGGTTCAAGGCAAGTAAGAATGGAAACATGCAATAACAACACACAACCATCTTCAGAAATACATGGCATTCTGTCGTTCATCTAGTTATCGATTATCATTCTGCAGATATTGCAGCAGAAGCTAGTCTTTTGTTACTCCTTTGAAGGAACAGATACCAGCTTTCATAGAACCATTTAGGTTGGAAAAGACCTTTAAGATCATTGAGTCCAGCTATAAACCTAACACTGCCATGTCCCATGAGTTTCTTTAAAGCCCATGGGAAAGCAAATCTACTTGCTAAACGATCCAAGCTTTTAGATTAAAGTCTAAAAAGCAAATTGCAATTGTAGGAACATGAAAGAAATCCTGTGACTTTTGCTTGCTCCAGATAGATCTTAAAAAAATGCTGTTGCTAGAAAGCATCAAGCTAAATTGTTCCATAAGCAGTCACCAAAACCTGCATTCAGATGAGTGGCAAAGCCCTCCAAATACTCTCCAACTTCAGCTCACTTCATGTCCCATATGACACCCTGATTACAAGAATGGGTTGAAAGATTGACAGACTTTTTAACTCATTTCTAACCTGCTCCCTAGTGCAGCCACTAGAAGAAGTATCTCCCTTACCCAGCCACTATTTCCCAAAATATATAGAAACATGGTGTTTTTGAAGCCTCTACCCAGGCTTTAAAAAAAACTATACGTGCACATAATCTGTGTTTGGTATTCTTTACAAGTCCTGCAGCCTAAATCAGGATTTTCTACAAGGGAAACAAAATGCCCAACATTAAAAAAAATAAAAAAAATCCACCATAATTTTAAACAGCAACATTAACTATGAATATAAATAGGAAAAATAGAAATCCTAGTGTTAGCTACAAAAAAAAGAGACTCAAAGATACAAAACAGGGCTAATCGGAAAAAGACTCAACAGCAGGGCAGCAGGTAAGCTACTGTAGCATGAACAAACTAGAGGCTCTACGGCACATAGAGGTTACCAAGAGGCCAGAAAGAACAGAGCAGAACCACCGAGACACAATTTTTAGTTCTGAAGGCTTAAGGATATGGCCAAGTAGTAACAAGGGACATAACTGGAAGTAGTTTTAATGTAGGGCATCATTTCAGGAACAACTATTGCTTTATCACCAGCGCTAGCCAGAGCTGAACAGATATGTGTTCCAAGATCTTTCTCTCCTTTTCCCTCTCCTTGCCCACATACACCTTCCTGTTTCCAAAACAATTTGAGTAAATTAGTATCAAGCACAAATCTGCTTTGCGTCTATTTCTAGAAAGCGCTACTGCTCAGCCTAACAGAAGATAACTTGCACGATGGATTGATATCCTCACCCAGTTACATCTTACTGCATCTTGCCAAGTCTGCAGCCAGCGGCATTATCCAGATTTTTTTTTTTCGTTTAATTTCATAGTGTCCCAAACTTAAATAAGGGGAGGGGGAAAAAAAAAAACCCCACCACCAAAATGACCACAACACCACTCTCGAAATCCTTCATCCAATTCAGGTTAAGAAACAAAATCACCCAAGAGGAAGGCAGCGAGAAAAGGCGATGAGGCCAGAGAGACACCGGGTTTCCTCAGCCGCAGGGG